CCATACGTCCACAATTCCCTAGAATCACGTACCTGTCAGAACTAAAAAGGACGGGGAGAAGTTTGGGGAACACTTCTTGCCCATAGGGGCCCCTACATTTCAAGTACACATAGAAGACTGTATGAATTTATTTCCCCTGACTGCGGAGACAGCAAGGACGAGGTCGTTTTTCAGTCCTTTTTGCACCTAGTAGGCCACAGTAGCCATTTTTTTCTCGCCATTAAGCGTATTTTTCTAATTATCGGTTCACGCTCCGAGGGGCGCCGATATATTTTGAAAATCATTTACCCTGTGACAGTAAGTCGTACGCACCCCGTTGTTCTCTCCAGCCGTTAGGGCATCCTCCGTTTCATTTAGCGTGTTGGTAGTTATAGCTCTTTTTTCCCATACCTGACACACAGCACTTTGTAATAAGAGAGAGCGGCAGCTCGTTCAACTCGACCGCATTGAGGATAATTTCATTTCTCGACATCGATATTACACATCCCAAACCACTAACCCCACATCGGCCTCCCCGAATCCTCGTTCTCCTCCTACTTACCGGTTACCTATAACCACATACGATCCACATTTTCATCCGGCACGCCCACTAGACCAATATTTTTCGGCGGACGAGTCGGCCTTACATCTGAATTAACCCCAGCATCATCTCACACTCTTGGTCCTCATAATTTTGGTGCCACGTTGATTGGCCAATCTCTCCCATCCGCGAGGAACTTTCCAATTTCAACATCTCGACCCCAAATCGAGGTTGTTCCGCATACTTTTGGTGCCACGTCACTTGGTCAATCTCTCCAACCTGCCACCCCCTTTCCAATTTCAATATCTCCACCTCAAAACGAGGTTGTTGCTCCTCACCACGATATCATTTTGAGTCCAAGACGTTCACCCCAACCAGAAACTGCTTCTCCTTCATCACCTCTCTCTTCTGACCCCGATAGCTAAAATCCAGTTTCGAGTGCAAATCAACTACCTGCAGCATCCATCCCTGCGACTTTTTATCTCAAAACTAGTATCTTGCCTCCCGCTACTTTCTATCCTCAACCAAACGCCAGCCCCCAACGTCTTCCATCAACCACCACACTCCACTCCAAACCGCATCTCAAACATCGTAGTCTACGAAACCTCCTGCACAACGACTCCGTGCCCATCAACCCCTCAATCCTTATTGGTACCACAACATCTTTTACTCCACCTCCCAGCAGTGGTTGAGACCCTGCCCAAAACAACCTTCCGCTCCTCAACCACCACCATTTTTTCCTTTCATTATTGCATCACCCACACTTTTCCAAATGGGGACAACTATCAACGACATCACCATCTCTCCAGGATGTTCACCCCCGACAGACACTAACTCTCCTCTTTCTTTCCCACAAGTCTGTCCTAATACGGAGTTGGAACCTTTACCAACCCCCGCGGCACCTCTCCCTGCTAACATTTTTGTGCCACCTCACATTCTACCTTCCTTCCAACCTGTACCTCCACACCATACCAACGCATTCTATCGACCACCTTTCCCTCCCTCGCATATCTCGACCATTGATGGCGACTTCTGCGCCTGCCCACCACACATCTCTCACATCGACAATTTGACGGGGTGGCCCACACCCGCTACATCTTCTTCCTACGATGCAGTTTTGCACACCCCCCATTCGTCAATCCCCGATCGACCAACGACCCGCACTTCGTCTCTCTCTTAGCCCAACAACTTCCTTCCCAATTACAACAAGGGATTGGTACATCCGACATGAGGCCTCATGTAGTCTCTGCAGGTTCAGATTCTATTCATATGTTAGATGCACCTCGCCCTCGTTCCTCGGGTCAGCACATGACCTTCCCAGATTCCCCACCGACGGGTGGTTTTAGACACAATAACCACCAACAGCGCACCTCACAGGGTAACCGTAACCGTAACCATAGGGGTAGATCTTCGTATTCCATCAACCGTGGTGGCGGTTTCTCTACCCGCCAGAATGTACATAGCCAATTCCACATCACAGCACCTTCGAATCACTGGCAATCCAGGAATACAGAATTCCGAGGCACACATCACATACAGGATGGTGACGGCCGTAATTTTGGTGGAGGTGGGAGAGTCCATTCTCGACGACGCTATAACCCCAATACTAACCGACCTCGTAGTGAAAATCACTCGTTGTATTCTTCCCCTAACGCACACCCCCGCCAATCACGTTCTAACTTATTGCCTATACACACTAACTACAATCCAAATCGCTCCTCCTCACATATCCCAAATACCTGGCGACCAGATCTATTAACTCGACCTAATCAACCTACCAACCTCTCCCGACCACTTTCCAATTCTAACCCTCTACCTTTTTCACCTAGCCAACGCCTCGCCCCCCACACCGCCGGTGGCAACATTCCTTTTCCTCCATGCCCCGATTGCGTCGCCTCACGACACACGAATTTCTCTATCCCACATACTTTTAAACCAGGCAGAGTTTGACCAACCTCTGCCCCTCGGCAACGTTCTCAATTAGATAACCTTGTTACACTAGCTGTATTAATTATATACGTATCACGGCGAACCCAGGATGGTCCCCTTGACTATCCCCGTAATACAATAGTAATAAATAGTAATACTTACCGGTCACCCAGATAGCTGTATTAATTATATACGTATCACGTATATACGTATACACGTATACACGTATATACGTATCACGGCGAACCTAGGATGGTCCCCTTGACTATACCCATTAATACAATAGTAATAAATAGTAATACTTACCGGTCACCCAGATATATATATATATACGCATTATAAAACCCACCCATAGGATTTACAACAACAAAAATCCACAAGAGAATTCTTTCTCCTGTGTATTTTTTTGCGCTTTTCCATAGGTGATTTTCGATATCTAGGATTACGTAGACATCCCACATTCTTTTGTACCACATAACTATTACTTAGAAGCGAAAACCGGATAGTCTACCATATTATACAGCGGTCGCTCTATGGTCCCCACAACCATTCGCCGCATTAAATATATAAGAGAACTAACGACGCGATAATCATAAATCCACAGGAGAGTTCCTTCTCCTGTGCATTTACGTTGCGTATAGACCTCGATGGGCATCTCCCCTAATGAGTACCCTCACTCCCCTACCTTAAGATTTAACTCTAGTAAGCTCCTCCTGGTCACCTTCGTCTGCACATTTTTTCCAGCATTAGGCAACCTTCGATCTGTCATTCAACCAGTAGCGAATTGTCCGCTCAATTACATTAGTTTTCTTTCTTAATCGCTACTACGTACCTCCCCGTCTGTTCACGAACCACGTACGCGACTCAGCAATACGTTTAGTATAACGGTATCTTCTACACTACCTCTATATACTCAATACCTCACCTCACCGGTTGACTCAACACTTTACTCGCCCCCGATGTTATTCTCAATCCATATACCTTGTGGACCAACTGGACCACAATATTACTCTCCTCGCTTCAGGGCTCATCTCCCATGCTGATCACAAACAATTAGCCGTCTCACTTACAACGATCCGACCCCCCGACCACAATCTAGCTCCAACCCTCCTTCTACCGTTTATCGCACACCTGAACCTCACAAAAAAAAACCTGTTCTCCGCATCGACAGGACTCCTCGGCCAACCTCATATCTACAACGAGGAAGAACGACCTTCATCACATGGACGCCGATACCCTCATTCTCACCTGATTCTCCCTGCTCAAAACCAGTCTCCCTCCTGCCTCCATTGTCCATACTCATCCTGCCGAATATCCAACTCGACCCTTCCTCGGGCCATAACACCCATCACCCACTAACCCATATTCTTCTCCCAGACGACACTCTTCACCTCGCAACCTGCAGTATCGCCCCAGACACTGGCTCCTCCGTCTTGTATCTTCCACCCTGTGACAGTGAACGACGACCAGTTCATCATTACCACACAACTTCTCTAGAGGAGGATTTCATCCTCCCGTGCCATGGACCACCAAGTTCCCAAGTCGCCGAAGTCCACCTTCTCGTCCACCCAATTTCGGGCGTACAACAACTCAATCCTCATGCTGACCTATCTAGAAGAAATGCAATTGGCCTCCGAACTTCTTCGACTTTTTGATGCGAACTTTTTCTTCACCCCCAACCACCTCCTCCAAATGTGTGGAAAATATACGTCCAGCCTTTCACCTCCACGCCCCTTTAATTTCACCGACTCTACAACAGTGGATGAGAAAGGGTTCAACGAATTCGCAGCCCTACACCCGGAATTATTCACCAACATCAATCTCCTCACCTATTACGGCGCTTATGGATTCTGCACACGACACAATGAAAAACTCACCATTTTTCCCCCTTCAAAACTCCTACCGGTGCCAGGAAACCTACGTTTACTACCTCCACGCCCTTCCAAAAGGGGCCTCCTGTCATACGCGTACCAACTTTGTTCTTGTTCTCACTCCCCCCGCTATCTCCCGCGTCTTAAACCGCGTCATACCACGTATCAAGATCACGCCGAACAACCAATCGAAACCGAGGAAACTTCTCCAATCCCCCTACTCTACCCGAACATACCCGCCGACGGCTCCAAACCTTCCCCACCACTTCCATCCACTCCCTCAAGGCCTGTGCCGGCTAACAGTAGGCCGTCCCCACCCCCAGATTCAACGCCATGCTCTCCAACACTGCAATCTCATCCAGCTGATCCGCCTCAGCAATAAAACAAACAACGGATATTTCTTTTCTTTACACCGTAGACCTCCTAACCCATGCCCTCCAAATCTTCCCCTGCTTGCGGCTAAACTTCCGGCGACTCCATCCCTCTCTCTGCCGTCCATCTGAAACCCCACACCCCACCCTTCTCGTTCTTTCAAGCAACTCAGACACCCGTTTTACCCACTCAGCACCATCAATTTCATTCAGAAGACCAACGATTAACCACGGTTACAAATTATTGGAGATATTGGAAATTTTGTCAATTTTATTCCGTCAACAAAAAAAAAATTAACCACGGTTACAAATTATCGGAGATATTGGAACTTTTGTCAAATTTATTTAGACAGCAAACAATTAACCACAGTTACAAATTATTGGAAATAGTGCACATTATTGGACACAACAAAAACTTATCTACGACGACGATAATCTACTTCTGGATTAGGATTTCCTTGGCATCCTATCAGATGACATCTTCCTATATTGCAAGAACCCCCATTGCAGTTCTTCAGATGATACCTCCATCGGTCCCTCGCGATGAAGACATGGCCACATGGACACCTCCTCCGAAACCACTGAAATCATTTACAAGACAATTAATTATTATCTTCGCCATTACACCTCTGTCCAACCCCTCCAACAACGGTTCTCCCTTACTCAGTTCCACTTACATTTTTCGACCTGGCCTTTATCCTCGTTTTTCCTCCCGCCATCACCCTCCCGCTCCCACCGGCCTGGTTGGCGCTCCTCTCGGTCTCCTCACCTGCACCAGTGGAAGACTTCTTCTCCTTCCGGACACGTTTCACCTGCCAAATTCAAACAATATCAGACCATCACTTTTTCTCTTCAAGCAAGTACGCACCCCTTCATCCACACACTACTAGCCCCGCTTCTTACCTTAACAAACAACGCCTCCAAGTCGTTCTCCTCCTCCGAAGACACCGGCCCCGAATATTGGACCTACATACAAACCATTTCCGACAGTCAATCTTTTTATCAGGTCATCTACTCAGGGGTTTCATCTTTATTAAATTGGCAAACAACTCATCCCTTACTTGATGATTCCTGCCGCCTGTTGCCCCTCTTCCACCACTACTACCCGGCTGCATCTCAGTTCTGGGGCCCACCTCCTAAACACATATCACCATTACTTCTCCACTCGCAAGAAAGAAGAAAAATAAACCAACACAAACACAACCACCCCCCAAACAAAAAACGACATAAATAATAATATAAACAACAACAAAAAAAAAACAAATAAAAATCAATAAACACAGACCCAATCTACAGACATCTCTACGATAACCACTTACCACCGTACCAACTGCTGCGGCGTCATCATCTAACAAGAAGCATAGATAATTAGATAATTAGATAATTTAATAGCAGTAGATAATTCTTCGATTACCACCATGGTCTAAACACATCAACCAACACATGTTACTTATAATTTTTTTTATCATCATTATAATCCCATCTTAAGAACAGGTAACCATAACTACTCATAAGGACAATATTAATTTCCGTAATTTTTAGCCCAGTATTAATCACCATTATTGTTTACCAATTTTTTCTTTAATTGTTAGAGTACTTTTTATTTTACATTAATTTCTGTTACATTCTAAGACATTTTAATTGTAGGATCTATGAACTAATTTAGATAACTCTTGGCACTCATAACTCATCGTCTATTACTTTTAGTATTTTCGTCATCACACCATTGTTTTCACATCTGGCACTCCTCTGTCTTTGGCTCACTCTGCTTCGACCTGCCGGGCACATATATATTTTTCAGACAGCTCCAATCCGGTCCACAATCGACTACACACATACAGTCCTCCTCACCCAATTTTAACAATTTTCCTATCTAAGAATTTTAATTTTTACAATTTTTCAAACTCCCAATTATAACAATTTTCCTATCTACGAATTTTAATTTTTACAATTTTTCAAACTCCCAATTTTAACAATTTTCCTATCTAAATCTTAATTTGTTCCATCAAAAATCTGCTGCCTCAGTTTTTATTTTTTCGTTAATAATTTTCCGACTTTCGTACATAAGTTTTAAAATTTTGTTTTAGTTTTACCAGCCACGCACGCATTTATGCATGCATTTTATTCTGCTAAAATACCTCCCCATTATATTTCATTCACGAACACACTTTACGTCAACAAAGCTTACATGCAATTGTCCATCCACCACCATCTTGGGGGAATACATACCTATCCATTCTTAATTGAAAAAAAAAACAAATTTTCTTACCTGGATTTTTGACGAATTTTCCCGACTTTTCTGAATAAGCTGACGCCAAGTAGGTACACAGAATCTGACTGAATTACATCTCGCATTTTTTCGCTTGTTGCGGTAGGGCCACCGCTTACTAGAGGTGAATATTGTGAAAGAGCAGGTTTGGTCAACTTCATTAATGCCAAACCCCTTAATTAGTATGCCACTCACCTCCATCATCTCTTACAAACAAGAGACAATGTTGCAAACCAGCTTCGTCACAACCTCATCTGAGATATCTCTATTCAGCGTGGCCAACCGGTTCATAATCGGTCAACACATAGGTATCAATTAGGTATTGCTAGGATATATAAGCGAAAGCGCAGCCACCAGACGGGGGAACGGTCGAGGAAGTATTTTGTGCTACTGCAGGTTACCTCTCCCAATATTATTGGGAGAGGCAGAGTTCTGCCTGTTTGTACAAGTAATAAATAAAACCTCTCTAAGAAAAGTGCAACCAAGTCTCATCTCGCCTCCCAATTATTACGCACACACCACAACGACGACGACGATCGTCTCATCTTCCTCATCACCAACATGACTGCAGTCAACCCCCCATAAACGGAACTTCACAAAGCTTTAGATTATATAAACCTGTCAACCTTGGAGTTTAATATTGCAAATAAAATCTAAATTGAGTTAGTTATTAACCTACGTTACATAAACAAATGTGATACAATGTTTAACAGTTCGTCCCTACCAAATTTAATATTCTATACATGATAAACTAGATATTGGTAAGAAACTCTTGGTAATCTAAAATGATTTTAGATTACCAAGAGTTTCGATTTTAGTAAAATCTAAATAAATAAGTAAACTAGGCTGTTAAACTCTGTCAATTAATAACTCCATCATTTGCAGCCAGCTATATAGTTTGTGACGCATTTCTCAACTGAAATTATTACGGATGAGGCAATTCATGCAGTCCTTTGTAGTTTTTTAATTTCCGAAGTTTTGTAAAATAATTTTAGAATTTAAGAAAATAAAAAGACGCCCTTGATCCGAGCAAGTTTAGAAAAATTTGAAGGCTAATTTTTCTTAGAAATAGTGAATAGTTGACAAATTTTTAAACGTTTATAAGTTCACTGAATTTACGATTTTATGATGTTACCAACGAGACAATGATTAAGACCACACTGATCCCCAGATTCCCACTTGATCAACATTGTACATTGTGTAATTTGATCGGTGACAATGGTAAGCGACTAACTTTTTACTTTTTATGAAAAACTATTGTTGTATATGTAATTGCTTAAACAAATTTTAATAATTTTTATTTTGCCCTGATTTTTTAAAATTGAAAACAAGAATCCTTAAAACTGCGTGAGTACATTTTAAAAAACCAGTATTTTAAAATTATAAATAAGTATTTGCCGAATTATGCAAAGGTTCATACATAGATATTTTTGAATTTCAAGAGTACACCATCAACCAGATCCAGACATGCTGCATGATCACATAAAAATTATCAAATGGAGCTTGACCGCAATGTCATATTTGCACTGTTTTCCCATCAAGTGGGACAAATCTGCCAAACGTGTCACCCATGTAAAGTCGCGACGAAAATTAATTATTATAAAAACAGTGAATATCCTGCTCCTTTCTCACTTCGGGTTAGTTGCTTTTGTCCTACGCGACCAATACAGGACGGGATGTGTGTACACCCTCCTTCCAAATATTTTTATGTGGCTGGTCAATGTGATCCACTTCCTTTCTGGGATGGGGGTAAATTTAGCGAATAAAGCGGGCGAGCTGTTCAATACAATGATAGGGTTTGAAGAATGGCTTCAAGACACGTTTGATGAGATGAATATCTTGCCTGAGAAAAATTCTGGAGAGTCGATAACTAACAGGTAAGAAATTAATTGGTCGTAGTATAAAATATACTTTTAGAAATAATTTTACCAATTTGAAAAGGACTTTAGTTTACTTAATTAAGAACTCATATTGCATTTTACCTTATTTTTAAGTGTAAAGCGACTAGGGTTTTGTAGGAGCATAGTAAAATTGTTACGACTACATACATAATTTTTCCATCGTTTTGATTTTATAATTTCATGGATGTTTTTTTAGAATAAATTTCAGTAAAAATTAATGAACCATACTAAACCTTATTGTCTAATTTTGACTGGAAACTTCGCAACAAAATTCTTCGCCGACTATTACCCTTGGCTAATAGAATGTGCCCTATTTTGGGAATAACCCGGATGAGACGACTCCTGGGAAATGCATGTAATCCGGCCTACATGGGATACTTGATGGGCTATTGTTCAAGTTGTCATGCCCATCTTGTAACTGGCGGAGGATTGGCATGGGTTCTAGCCAAATTTGTTGCCATGGTTTTTGACCATCATGGTTCAAATGTGGCAATCCTATTTCCTCATGTTCAACATATCAATCGCTGGAACTGGATGCATGCTCGACTATTTGGATATATTGGGGCGGTAATTTTAAAGATCAGATGCACTTTGTAATGGACGTATGTATGATTGATGTTGTAATTATACGTGCTGCCCGCTAAATGGCGCTCATTCCCTACATTTCTTCAAAGGAGTTACAATTGCAAACAAATTGGTGTAGTTATTTTTTATGAAAAACTACACGACATTGTTATGCCAAATTTAAAAATGCCTAAATTATTTCGTTACGAATTTGATAGATTCAAATTTTTCATTATTTTTCTGAAATAATGGCATCAAAAACCTATCTGGGGAAAGCCTACAGCTCCAAAATCATGAAGCCACTGTTAAACACAAATATTTATGAAGTGGTCATGAAAAATTGTTCATGAAAATTATATAATAAATGCAATAAAATTACAGTATGGCCAACCCTGTCAACTCGTCTCATGTGAGTCTCACCACCCGCGCAAAGTTGTACCGAAATCTGCAAATCCTAGAGAAACAGTTGAATCGAACCTTATCAACCCGCGTGATCCCCGCGATTCTGGTTGTTGTTCCCGCCGTGGAAATATTCTGTACCTTTGTGGTTATCAAGCTTCTCAGGTTTCTGCCATCGGAGGAATTTTACACTTATCCATACGCCACATTCATCTGCGTGACGGTCTTGATGGTGTTTGAAACGTTTGCGGCTCAACTTTTCGTGAATTCCGAACAACTGTGTACCGACTGGTTGAAGGAGCCTGGATTGACGAGGCTGAATAGGCGAAGGATTCGATCCCTGCAACCGATGAGGATTAAAGTGGGGAGTAATTTCGTCGATAGAGGGAGCGCTTTGATAACGCAGGATTTCTGTATTAACCAAACCGTGTCGTTGCTTCTCATGTAGTTGGCTGCTTATCGTTAGACTGGGTACATACATTACCTGAAGTTCTGGCTTGTGCGCATTCTAGTGTCCGGTTATTGTTTTTATTTACTTAGGAATGACATTTTTAAAATGTAAATATTTTTTAAGCAATATGGTTTTTTAATGTTGTGTAATACGTATTTACATTTTACGTTTTAAGTAACTTATGATTATCATTTGTTGTCTTTTGTGGACGTACATACATAAGTTTGTATTTTATAAAATTTTTAATTTATTTATTTATTCATATCATTTATTTATTTACGGATACTTATGTACTCGAACAATATTGCGATAAAGCATGGCTTGAAAAAGGAGAAAAAATAGACTGGGAAAGCGATCATATGTAAGTGTGAAACGAGCCCTCTATCTTTGAGTAGTATGATTCCAAATTTTTAGCCTTCATTCAAAGTTTCTAAATTCGACTGGATCTCAAAAAACTGAAACATTTGGATCAAACTTAAACAATTACGTAACTCGACTAAAAACTAAGTTTTTTCCATGTCCAGTTTTCACGTAAACGTTAAAATTCACCAACCTTCATCTCTTCCAATGTGCACATACGTAAATAAGCATGGACCAATTCCACTCGCCCGAATGGCACCTGATTATATCACTTGTTTAATATTGTTCTACATCAGAATGTGCAAACCCATATGACATTCCGTTCTGAGTAATCAATACTCATGAAAGCTGAAGTAATAAGTGCAACGCAGTAATTTAGTCAGCATCCTGCTCTGATAAGCAAAATGTGTACATACGTTTTGTCGCCAGTTGTATGTTCAACGATTGAGCTCATCCTGATTCTAACCTGCATAAATACGTTTTTCTGCATTTTTATCATTTAACCTCGAAAGTTTTGTGTCCACAACGTTGAATGAGTTCCAAATCCCAAATCAGGCTTAGTTGCTGGTCAGGCAAGGTGACATACATAGGTGGACGTTGATTTTTTTTAAATAAAAGGTGACGTCAAAAATTTAATAGATCCGTATTTACATTGAATGTACTTCTACATCACACTTAAAAGTTAGGCTAATGTTGTGAGAAGTGAAGTAAATCCACTCTGAATCATAAATTAGCTAATCTATTTACATATCTATGCAAAATGTAGAGTGTGTAAACACTACGCTTTATCATATTACCGCTAATCTGGACTTGGCATAGTTAATTTAACTTATAAACCAAAGTGAATTTATTTTACGAAAGGGTAACATTATCTTTAAGAGTGTACATACATACATATGCACAATTTTTTCAGATGAACATACTTATAAAGAAATAAAAATCAAGCAAAATGTGTGACGACGAAGTTGCAGCTTTGGTTATTATTGACAATGGATCTGGCCTTTGCAAAGCTGGCTTTGCTGGGGATGATGCTCCGAGGACTGTGTTTCCTTCAATCGTAGGTCGACCGCGTTTCAAGGTCAGGTTCGAAAACATGTTGAAAAATTAGATATGTATTAGAACGCTTAAAGCTTCGATGTAGATTTGCCGAGATAGTAATTCGAACATTCACACTCTAACAGCCAGAAAGATTAGCGATCTTAGGAAGGTCAAAGGTTATGATTTTTTTTACTTACGACTCCCAAACTCTGATACCCTAACTTCGTCTTGTTTATGTTTAGGTAGTTTTTTTATATACAACAACTTTCAGTTTCTTTTAGCTGTTTTTTTAATTTTTTAATTTTTTTAGCTGGGAAACTGATCTTTTTAAAAATATCATTATATAATTTTCTCTATTAAGTATACTGTTTGCTTACTTATTAAGATCAATTTATGCAAATTTCTTGTCCATCATATCCAGGATAACTTTAAAAGGGATTCGAATTTCGTTACCCGTGCTTCTGGTTCTTGGGGAGGAGTTAGGGGCGAGTATATTGGTCACAGCACCAGGTCACGTGTCACTATCAAACAGAATAGTTTATTTTCACTTCAGGTGACCCAGTAGCCGTATGATACAGGTCAAAGGTCATTAATACTGAAAACGCTTCAAAATTTTTGAACCTTGAACCCGTTTTGACGTTTAACACTTCATGACCGTGAGAGCGAAATCAAAGTTCAAAAGTGTCGAAAACAAGTCAATTTTAATAGATTCTGAGGTATTACATACTTATGTAGATTGTCACAACAAAAATAATATTTATCAAAATGTGAAAGGTGTTTTTGATTCAGCGTAGTTGTGAGCATACCTATTCAAAAACTTAGTTTTCATTCAAAACTAATCCATCGCCATTTCTGACTGAGGATTTTCATTCACATTTAATCATTTTCGCTCAAATTCATTTCATTTCACTTCATCTGACTTCACATCTTATTTCGCCCAATGTATGAAGGGTGAAAAATTAAACGATAGAAAAATCCTTTCATTCATTCATTCATCTGAAATGATGGAATCCTTCAGTAATTTTCATTCAAATGAAAGAAACTTCATTTTCACTCAGTATCATTATCAGTCGAATGAATGAAAGTGAACAGGTACATATATGTACCTGTTCAGGAATTTGAAATTTATATTTATAAATATGGTTGTAAGTATGATATTATTTCAAACTCCTTGTAGGGATATTCACCCACCGACACTTGGACAATTGAGTCATACGTTGGAAATGCAGCTCAAGAAAAACGACACATCCTAACCTTAGAGTACCCCATCGAACGCGGAATCATCAGCGACTGGGACGACATGGAGAAAATCTGGAATTACGCTTTCTACAATGAGCTCCGCGTCGCACCAGAAGAACATCCCGTCCTTCTCACCGACTCTGCTATGCACCCCAAGCAGCAAAGGGAGAAGATGACACAAATCATGTTTGAAACGTTCAATTGGTGAAATATTTGTTTCTTTTTTTGGGGGGGGGCATGTTACATACATTCTTTAAAATAATGAATACATTTTCATAGTCCTGCAATGTACGTCTCTATGCAAGGCATCCTCGCCCTCTACGCATCTGGTAGGACTACTGGAGTCGTTCTATATTCCGGTGACGGTGTGACCCAAACGGTCCCAGTGTACAATAATAATATCGTTCACGAAGCAGTATTCCGACTGGACCTTGCTGGTGCATATTTAGTAAATGTTAAGGTTAAGATAAACCCCGGGGTTTTCAATTATAAAGTGTATATGCATATTATAGGACAGGGTAATATGCTACCCCGTTTTTTTGGAGTATTGGGGTTTTGGGGTAGCAAATTTGATCAATACCCACGGGTAGTCGGGGTTTTCATATTGATAAGAGTGCATAATATGCATATTATTCTAATAGCACGTTACTTCCAATTTAAAAAATAATTACATAGATATTAAAATTGAATTGACAAACTGCTTTGTCGTGTAATTGTTGAAAAAGTAGATTGTTAAGATAGATATATACAATGAAATAGTGTTTTTTCATCTTCCAACGATTTTCGAGTTTGATAGCTTAAAATTTGCGTAATTTTTTGTAGATAAAGAATTCGTAATAAAAAAGGGGGGCCCACCAGTAGTTTTCGAGATCTGAGCAAAAATGTGTGATTTTTTTTGCAAATTTTGGATTTTGACTCAAACTAGTCCAACTTTCGGTCAAATATCGCGGGAAATAATTTTAAAAATTATTTTACACTCGAATTTTGCCGCTGCCTCGATTTCGGACCCCAATTTTCCTATGTATTGAAGTTTGCAAAATAATTGCATTTTCCGTATTAGAATGCCACGATCGAATTTGGAATTTTGGTTAACATTTTAAGTTAATCCATAGATCTAATGATCTAGCTGAATCGCTAGATACAATCCGTTACTTATTATGTTTAAACAAACTGGGAATGTTGTGAATAGCTGGCTATAGCCGTAAATTTGGGACCGCAGTTGCGACACATTTTGCAACAAAATTTTAACGAAATCTAAATTAGAATATGAGTATGAGTTCATGTTAATGTAACAACGGATGTCCTGTTGCCAATTCATAATTTTGAAATTAACGCAAAGTTTTATTAACCACTCAGAATTTTGTTAATGCCGCGGCGACTTGTTTTAATAACGTATGTATGTATGTAATACATGAGGTACTGCCTCAGCTTGCCCCCAAAACCCCTGAGTTTTCAATAGCAAAACCCTGGGGTTTTCCTTACCCTGATGTACATACAACTTTATCGGGGTATATTTCAACAGGCAGAGATTTGACTGATTTTCTTATGAAAGTAAGAACACAATTACGAGTTAAAGTCTTTAATGTACTCCAAATCTAATGCTTATTTTTTGTCTTACAGCTTCTTTTCGTTGAGAACAAACACCCATTCACCACGACTGCAGAACGCGAAATTGTACGAGTCGTGATGGAGAAGAAATGCTACGTTGCCCTTGACTTTGACCAAGAACTTTCTGCGAGCTCATCTTCGATAACAGAGTTCTATGAACTTCCCGACGGCCAAGTTATCAAGATTGAGAGTGAGCGATTCCGTTGCACAGAAGCACTCTTCCAGCCCTCCATTTTAGGAGTAGATGGTGACGGCGTTCACGAAATGGTGAACAAATCCATCCTGCATTGCGGCGAAGATATCCGAAATGTAGATAGATACTTAAATATTCATTAAAGTAGTCTCTTATTTGTACATGTACAAGCATAGGTGCGCAGCTTCCGTCGCTGGCGTCCGCTTCCGATTGAAATTGTCGGTTCCATATAAATGTGCTTTCCTTCCAGACAAAATATTTGCTTCCAACATCCAATGCTTTCGCTTCTGATGAAAAATCTGATCCAAAATCGTCGCCTCCGAAGTCCAGAGGTTGCCTCGAACAGAACGTTTTTAGACCGTGCTTAAGAGTGCCTCTGGGGTCGTCTTTCGATTAATAATTGCCCTTCTACCTTCTAAAGCCTCCGATAAATAATCTCCCCTTCCAACATCCGGAAGCGGCGTCCATCGTCGTGAGCTGTGCACCTATGTTTGCCTAAACATTTTTCAAATATTCCAATTTTTAGGACCTCTACGGTAATATTATCCTAGCCGGTGGTACTTCAATGTTCAAAGGGTTTGCTGATCGTATGAAGAAGGAGATTGGGGCCTTGGTATGAACAGTTTATCATCTGCTAAACTATCTGTCGAAATAGTTTCGTAAATACGAAACATTGTGAGATAATGAAATAGTTAATAGTTAATATTATCGCTCCCCCAGAAAGGAAGGACTTCATTCAATGCATATTATTTTTGACAAAATTTCACAATCTCATAAATTGGTGCATAAATTCATAGAATTTTATATTTGCTTTTTAAAATCCTACTATCCACCGATCCGTAATAAAAAGTGACGATGGGTTCAATAAATTATAAGTGCATGTAATTAATTAGAAATCATAATCCTTAAAGTTGACTTAATTTTATTGCCACATTTCGTTGTATATTTTTGGAAATGCATATTGATTGCATACTAGTAACGAAACTAGTGCGAGAGTGAAGGGAGCGGAGTGACCTCGAAGGAGAAAATTTTCACTCCTCCTCTCGCCCGCTTGAGAAAAAACAGGCCGCTAGTGTGAACTTTGCCCTCAAATATTTGACCTCCAAGTGGCCATTCAACGGAAAGATAAGTACCACGTCATTTCTAATTCGTAGCTTGATTTTTTAGCATAAGTCACTAAGCTTATCTCGTGTAGCTTGAAAAAGGTTCCATTGTTTGTCAAATTTACAAAGTTAATTTAACAAGGAAATTCTTTAACTTCCCTTAAAAATATTTTCCTGTGCATGTCTACCTCAACCCCATAACTTGTTTGACAATGACAGCTCGATTGTATCCCTAGTCGTACTACATATTTATATGTATGCTTTCGAGGATTTTATGGTAAAATGTTTTAATCACACTCTGCATCACGTGACACGCATTATCAGTAAATATTATTTACTAAAGGACTGATGGAAATTAAAAATCCAGGCTTTACAATACATAAAGGAGGTTTCAAAATAATTAAACATTGTTCCGTGAACAAATTATTTATGTATGAGAACATACATATGTATGTACATAGTTGTCCAAATCGTTCGCGAATTTCAAATTTAACATAAATGTTACGTTTGCATGTAAATTTACATGCAAACGTAAATTGATCATTAGTGTAATTTTGCAAGTCATAAATCTTTTACCAGTTTACTCCCAAAATCTAAAATTTATCCGAATCGGATTACCCGAGAAGATAAGTAATTTGTCTCATCGGATATGGGTACATATTGGTTATTTTATCTTTTCCCTATCGGACCCTATCGGACCGAAACCTTAACTACTTGTGACAAGGTTTAGTCTTCTTAAAAAGCTTAAATCTTATTACCAAACTATACACTCAAAACAAAACGGTGTCAATATATGACTTAACCGCCTTGGTTACAATTGTGATTCCGAGTAGTAATGAATTTTTTCCGTCCGGTCATAACATTATAACTACCGGTATCAAAATCATCATAACTCGGATTCAACATTGTAACCAAGGCGGTTAAGTCATATATTGACACCGGCGGTGTTGATTCGACAAAATTTTATTTTGAGTGTATATATCTTCAAAATTGTATATCAAAATTTTAACCATGCGCGTGTTGCGAACGTGCAAAAACTAACAACGAACCGGTCTGCTTTACACAAAATTCCTGAAATATCAGTGGTGTCAAAGCATCCACAAAGTTATTTCCGAACTGAATCTTCAACGGTGTTAGTGACCTCATAATTCGTCTATTAGTCTTATCCTTAGTTGGGGTGAGGTGCGACATCCATGCCCTCGTATTGATGAACAATTTCGCCGAAGAATTCAAAATCAGTAGCGTGAAACAAACGCAATCAAAATAGAGCGCGAAAAATATTGTAGAATTCAAAACGCTCCCTTTGAGCAGCATGAGGAATCCAAAGCAACTCAAAATTTGCAGTACGGGCATCATAAGAAATACCACGAGAAGAATGCGTCCCCTAATCGCGCCATTTACGAGTTTCTCTAGCACCTGCAATTCCATATACTTTAGAAATGAAAGCTCAAAATTGTCGAATTTTCGAGCCAAGAAAGATCCACATTCTGTGTACAGGATAAAAATTCCTGTCAACAAGGTGTACCCGGTGTATTGAAAGGTCCCCAAAAACATTGTTAGCATGACGACAAATTCCATCAGAGCGAGGAAAAGTGTCATGGCGGTGGTTGCTATGGTTTTAGGCCTGCCACAAAGCAACATTCCTCCCACGAAGGGAATTTTGCAAGGGAGGACAATTGTGAGAATGGCGACGAGCAAGGGATCCAGGATGATGCATACGTCCACCAATGAATAGAATAGGCGACACGTGGTTTCAAACCTTGTGTGATGGGATGGGCGCCTATCTGCAAAAAATTTGCAGGCATACACAATTTTGTAACAAACTTTGTTTTGAAGTTAGGTAGCAAAATTTTGTATTGAGTATAGTAAGGGCAAACTGAGGAGTGTCTGCCAGTGCTAAATTAAAAAAAAACTGGGTTTTCAGAAATTTTGCAAAACAAAGAAAACAGCTTCTTGACTTAATTTTAAAAACTAAACTATGGAGAAAATTGTCGATAATGTCATGTTAGTCGCATTTTAAAAATCCACTACCCTGGGGTAGCATACCCAGTTCTTCTTAGGATTAGCATCGTATTTATGAATAAAAAAGAAGGGGTAAAGCTTCGTAAACATCGTAACCTTAGTAAGGCAATTTTCGGTGACAAAATTGTATTCCTCTTAAGTACTAAATCTCGTAGCTGCTGTAACTTATTTTACGACCCGAAGAATACGAAGGAATCATGAACATCCTCAAATTGTTGATACTACACACATGCCGAGTACGTTATCAATATGAAATAAATAGTTATGTCTGCACCTCTCCCAAATTTCTTGTAGGCTTCGGAGAGAGACCAGTTGTTAACCAGCATCGGGACGAGGTCCACGCGTCTTTCGAACCGTAGGATTAGACATGCCAAGTACAAGATCAGGATCAATGCGGCGCTGAACTTTTCTACCAGGTCGAACCCCCTCGAACGAATTAGCAAGGCTTGCACGATTACGTAGATGGCTTCTAGGACCATCCAGCCCTTAACTTTTAAGTGGTGTTTTTCATCCCGGAGAATAATTTTACCCTTGGTCTCGTCCCACTCGAAGTACGACAATGAAAATATTTTAGCCAGGGTAAGGTATCTTTTTAGAAAAGGGGTTAATGCTTGGACAATCATGTTGGAAATTGTTTTGGAAGCAAATTTTTGCAGGCAAATTGAACCTTTAGGTAACGTGTGAAGTGGAACCTTTAACCGTGTGATGGTTAAAAGTTATTTTGCTAGGTAAGGTTCGGAACATAAATTTATTCTTTTGACGAGGATTAATTAATTTATGTTGAGGTACGGAATATGTTCATTTATGAATAATGTATGTATGTATGACACAGTTTAGCTTTGTCGAGAAATAATTTCAATAGCGATAAGTGCATAAATATTTATAACGTTAATATTAACGTGTATTGATTAGAGACGCGTGTTGGCGGGAAGCAGTGGCCGCGGATGCGTGGGGACAGGGGGACAATGTCCCAAGCGTAATTCGATGTCTCCATCATCTGCCCTGCCCATTTATATAAACCCCTCCCTCCTCCATCTTGCAATGTTAATGTTCCACAGCTTCCGCGTTCGCTGATAGGAAGGAAATTTAGAGTTTTTGGAATATCTATTACAGAAAGGTTAAATTGGGTTTCAATAATTGCGAGCCTGGAAATTATTATTTATAAGCTTAATTTTAATAGTATTTATATAACATACTATGTTAATTAACATCTGCCTATGTTAAACCTAGGCAGATGTTAATTCATATGGAATGAGTGAATGAACGAATATGTAGGTATGTACGCATGTAAATATGTAATATGGTTTTAATTAAATACAAAATAAACATTTAATTGGATTAAAATTATTTCATGACGCATGTGAAGCAAAATATTCTTGCTCTTTTGTATCAATGATGCTATATACATACATATGCAAAAACATTATTGTGGCTGGTAATTTTTGCTTCAAATTTGAATATATGTATTTTAATGATATCATTTACATATTAAAGTTTTTCCGGCAGAAGCTGTATGGGTTTTATCTACATATAAACGTATTCTTCATGTCATATTATGTATGTATGTATAAACTACCTACCTACCAAACAAACAACTCACTACTTCTTATTTTTCCTTTCCACCACAAATGACGCGATGGTGCTAATACTTGTGATAATTAGTGGGAAGCAAATTCCTCCGAAAAACACGGTCGTATGAGTTAATCCCCATCCTTTCGTCATAACACAGCGCAGCACGCGGATCGACACGGTGAACGGAAGGCAGTGGCAAAGTGGTCGGTACCACGACACGACAGCTTCGATTGGCCAGATCGTATCTGAAAGCAATTAGCAATAAAACATTGATTCAATATTATCTGAGTAAATATGAAATTGTCAAAGTTCTATCTGAATAAATAACATATATTCATATATGTATAAGAAAAACATGACACGTGACGAATTATTTATACCAGCGAGTGTGTTATGTTTCAGGAATTTATATAAATGAAAACGATTTTACATACGAAAAATACAAAATATGTAAGTAAACATGTACTGTATACATGTAAAAAATATGGCAAAATTTATCACTGTAGAAGTAACATGTATGTAGTTTCGTGTAACATCTGAAATCCGTTTATTTACGATACGAACCTCGACCACACCACTTCAAAGCTATTAATAATGATTGTGATGACATCGAGGGTTGCATCATAAAAAACAATAGCATCGTTACAATTTTATATTCTAGTATCGAACTAAATTTATCTTTGGGATAAAATTGTAAAAATCTGCAAATTCCGCCAGGTAACCTTTTAGAATTTCTAGGGTAAAATTTTCTTCACATTTCAGTCTTCGCTTTTGTATTCATACCTGCAGCGTATATGTAAACCATAATTACGGAAATTGTTAAAAGTGTGGTGTCCTTGACGTTCACGTTAAACGATCCCAATACGAAAAATACCGAGAGCGTGGCTACCCTCACGAGATAGAATATCAACCTGATTAATGCCCAGCTTCCTTTAATTTCTTCGCTACGATCCCACCAGAGGATTAGTAAGATCAGTCCGCCTTGTAACAGGGTCAATGGGATGTCCGCAAAGTAGTAGGAGAGCTGAATTTGACCGAACCCCACACCCGTGGCCATCGTGCGAGCAAAAGTATTTTCATAACGATCCATCACGTGAAAAAACCCATCGTCGTCGATAAGAAGGTCCACATTCTGAAATGAAATGATAGATAGTTTAACAAATATTTACCTACATAGCATTCTGGTCACCTTGTTGTAGATAACAAACTTACAGAAGCACTTCTGCCGGAAGTAGGAATGTGTTCCACGTATGAAACAAGTTTCCATAGATTGGGCGGAACTATGTAAATACGTATACACAAATACAAATTAACAATATGTACTCATGCAGAAAATGTTATGATAACTAGATAGACGAACTTATGTAAATACATGTATAAATGTGTATTTACATATTTTATTACTCTTTAACCATTCAAAGTGCCAAACAAATGAGTATGTTGGCGAATGTGCTATTGCACTTCCTTGGGAAATACACCAGCAAATTTTTGATACTAAAAATTAAACCATAAATTTGTTGCACATTTACCTGTAGCGGTAGTGTCACTATTCGTTCGTCCATATCATATTAGTTCGCATTTAATAGTAGAAACTTCTGAACGGATTCATATAACGATTTGGTAAGAAAGTACGCGTTCATGTATTCTGTAAAAAAATTAATTGTAATCACCTTCTTGATAAAGTCTTCCATAAAAGATTACCAGAATTATCTAATCGTATCGAAATCACGGATCTATTTAAAGTTTCTTCGTCCGCACGAATATTCCAGGCCAATAGTTTCATCATATTTTGGGTAAAATTTTTAGGGAATTTTATATAACCCGCTATACGACCAGCTCTGATAGCTTGTAGTGCATCCAATTCGGTACTAAAGGGCACCTACATACATACATAAATATGTATTATTTGCATACTACATACATATTTGCTTATATTGTTCATGATTAGGGCGTCCATAAAAAGGTGCCGATTTTTAGACCACCAACTAATCATGTGGAGCTTTGCTTAACACGGGCAAAACAGGTGACCCAAAACCACCCACGCACATTTTTAATGACATAATATATGGACGTTACCTTAAGTGTTTTTTATAAAATTTAAATGTCACTTAATTACATACCCAGTTAACTCCTAATTTTTCAACAATGCCCAATATTCGACACGTGTAATCTATTTCTGGGCGTGTTGCGTTGCTGCCGGAAGAAATTGGATGGGCAAGATTTGTGTCGCAGTGGACTTGTCCGTTGTCCATTGTTGCTCCCAATTGGAGACCTTTTGGGTCATGTCCGACAGCGAGCAATGTAATGGATATGTTTATTAATAATAAAACCAGTTGGATGAGTGGCAATCTGCGAGTGTAATTAGCAAAAATTAGCAAATTATTCAACTTACGAAATAAATCGGGTGTAAATAATTGAATTTCGAGTTGTAAGTGCCTTAAGTTGCGAGCAGTAAGTCTTCATAGCTGCGGATGTCCCGGATAGTAATCTGGCCTCAAGTTTAGGGCACTTTATGGGCTCACCATTAATGTTAATGGACTCGTCTCTAACATTCCTAAAGGACACAACTTGGACGTCAAATTCAGGCTCCATTTTTATTTCGGAGAATGCTAAAATTTTAGTGGTCAATTCTCTAGGTGTTGTTCGTAGAGAACGAGGAATTTTGCATAAATGAAGAATTACATCATCCAAATTTGTAGTATTTAAGGTACAAGTTTGCCCTAGAATTATTTACATAGGATCAATTATACAAGCCTTTTTATGTAATTTTATAAGAATTTACATACCGTATTTTTCCAGCAAAGCTTTAGGAGAGCCTTGCACCAACATGGAGCCATCTCGTAGATAACCAATCTATAACATACCGGATATTGAATTCATGTAAAGGGGACAACTACATATGTATGTACTTATAAAAATAATTGCATAATACAGCATTTTGTGCAGATGTAAATTTTCATTCCTAATTTGTTCATATATGTAAATGCGTATGTTTTAACATGTTCATATGTCAGAGTTGGACACTACACAAACTCCTTTATTGTGCGAATAAATGGCACATTTCATATTAAGGAGAAATATACCTGCGTGCATTGTCTCGTTTCATGGACGTAATGCGTCGTGACGAAAACCGTGGTTCCTTTGGATTCAACAAGAAGTCTCAAGTAATCCCAGATCCTGAAATTTTGCAAATTTTATTCGTTATCCAAAATATTACTTCGGATTTGTTGTACCTTTCTCATAAAAGGGGATCAATTCCGGTCGTTGGCTCGTCCAACAGAAGAATTTGAGGGTCATGCAGTAACGCGACGCAGAGTGAGACACGGTTGGAGTTGTTCTCCACCACTTAATAAACATTTGCATATGTATTACAAATCTGCGGCTAGAATTTTCAAAAAGCTTGAATTTTTACCTGATTTGTTTAATATTACGCTTAACATTGGGTAAATTCATGACATTTCTCAAAGTTTCCACTCTGCTTAAAATTTCGTGTGAAGGTACACCGTGCAGTGTTCCGTAGTAGGCGAATGTTTCCATAATTGTGAACGATTCGTAGAGAGACGTTTCCTATTCATAAATATACAGAGGTCATCACTAATTCTAAGATAAGCCCTAGTTACGATTTACGATTAGCAAAATACCCTCTAGTAAGCATGTAAATATAAGTTATTCACCTGTGGCATGTAGCCAATCAAACTTCCAGGCATTCCGTTTTTAAAATTGGTCAAATTTTTCCCAAAGATTTCTATCCTGCCCTCGTTTAACTGCTGAATTCCCATAATGCAAGATACCAAAGTAGTTTTCCTAAATATTTAGGGTAGAGATCAATTGGTAACAATTTTTTCAATACTAAAACGAGATCTTGGTGATGGTTCATAAATTTTGTCTGTCAATTTTTTAGGAATTTTGACCTTACGCATACGCTCCAAGTTAAAATATCCATGAAATGCATATGTAATGGATGTGCGTAAGAGTAGATGAACCGCAATTCAAATTCACATCAAATTGATGCAACAACCTTTATGAACGGTCCCTTATTTCAACAAAAAATATAAACCTTACCCACATCCGCTTGGACCAAGAAGGGCATATCTGCACATGCGCAAGAGAAAAAATTACATTAATAAATCATATTTCAATAATTTCATGTATTTCTATTTAAATAAATATGTGCATTCTTATAAATTAATTGAATCAAGCTGAAAATTGTTAATAATTTTGACTTGAGCACAAGAAGGAAAAGATTTCACTGTGGGGCTGACATTGTTCCTTTTTCGACCTTGATATCCACTCCGCGCAAGACCACTTTGTTAGAAAATAATTTCGTGGCGGAAACTATATTCAACGCGGACATTTTTTGTTCCTTCGGGAAAACCACAATCCTAATTCTAGACACAATTGAAACAACACAATTTGCACAATTTGCGTGACGAAATTCGAAAATGTTTATGGACCATGCAAAATTCCGTCTGGTTGAAGTTAAGCCAGCCTTGTAAGCAAATTTGTAAATATACTGCAGAGGGAGAAATGTATATGTATGTACGAATTTTATTTTATGATGAAGTACACTTACGTATGTACATTTACAAGGTCATGCATACATTAATTGAGGAAATATATGTATGTATGAATCTATGTATAATGTATTCGTTTCAGGTTGTATTTTTTGTAGACGCGATGTAAGTAGATTGCTTTACATCTGAGAAACTTTATGTCTCGATTTTTTTTACATTCATAGGTATGTACATAAATGTGTATCGTCGCTATTCGTGGAAAAGTTGTCGATTGAGAAATCCGTCAATTTTTCAAGAGTTGTTACTTCAAAACTGGAGTTGTCGGATCAGTTTTTGGGAAATATGAGACTTCGTAAAACTCAAGAGGGTGGAGGGGGTCTATGGCTCCAATGATATCGTGCCTATGTGGCAGTTGAAGAAGGAGGGGGGCCAGTAAATGACGATTTCTGCGTTACATAATTTATGAATGGCCCCCAAGAATTACTAATTGTTTACTAATTGCCGTACAGATGAGTAAAATAGATACCTGACTACCACATGTGACGCACATCTAGAAATGTGATTCACAATTCTAGCCGTGCTTAACTGAATGGGTATTTAATTAATGAATCCCTTGTGATAATTTTCCATCGTATAAAATATAAATATGCAATTGTAACTTTGCCATTCCATTTATTCCAAAGAGTTCAGATTTGATTTCAATTTTAATTATGCTTAATTAAGTTTTATGTCTGTGAAGTAATCCAGTCCAGTTTCCCTCGATTTTTTTCTCTTCTAAGTATGCATGTGTATCTATCTGTAGGTTCGCATATCGATAACAAATGATGCGCTGTAATTTTTGTTAAGTTTAATATTTATTACATAAAATGGGGACGCGAACCATATTCAGTCCAGACTAATTTGGACCATGTTACATAGTTAGAGAGAGCGACTTTTCAAAAACAATATTTAGTGCGGTACTTACACAGATGCAAAAAAATGGCAAGTTGTGGGCGCCGCAGCTCTCAAAAATTAAAAATAAAGATAAAGCCTCCATTAGTTTTCGAATTTGTACTATGACTTTATTATTACGTAGAGTTTATTCAGGAAAAGTTACAAGTTTAAGTTCACTGAGAACGCTAAATAAATAAACTAGTTGATTTTTAAGTTTTTTTTACATTGGAAGATACAAAAAACATTTAACAATTCGCAAGTTATGTACACATTTTGCACTTCACGAGAACCTGGAAATCATTGCTTCTGGGAAAAGATCCCAAACATGATCCAGCATTTCATCGCTCGGTTCCTCCTCCCTCTCATCGAAACAAATGCGGTTCAAAGACGGAAATCTGGCCGCAGTTGTGTGGGCGTCGTGCAGAATCATGTCCCTCATTAAGGCCACGCTTATCTCGAGGTACCACAACTTCTCGAACACTACGCCAGCAGAAGGAGGGATGATAATAACGCCCACGGCAGGGGCACCAATCGCGACAGCTTTATATAGCTCTAGGAATTAAGTAAATAATTAATAATAATAATAATAATAATGCATACCAGTAATAAATAAATGCAAATGGGATCGTCCATATATAACGTCATGAAAAAAACGCCGATTTTTACACTACACATTCCTATCCCAGTCATGTTAAGCTTAAAACGAGTAAGATAGGCGACCCATAAATAACTACCCTGTTCAAATTTTTGATGACGTAATATATGAACGTTACCAATACACTCTTAAAAATAAGGTTTCCCTTATCAAAATGTGAATCAAGTTTAAATTCTACATAAATTAAGTAAACTCAACTAAATCCAGAATACCGTTAACTTGTAAAGAGTAAAATTTTGTCTGGATTTAACATGATTTCCTAATATAAAATTCTGTTCGCGTTTTTTTTTCATTTAAAAGATCACCGAGATCGTTCACGCCAGCCTTTCGTAACTCTGTAACCACGTAAAGTTACGAATAGGAATATTGCTAAGGTAATTTTTGCTTAAGAGTTTTCAAAACCTTGCGAATATAAATGTCATATTTTCTTTGGTTCGTAAGCTGATTTTCGTAAAGTTACGTGTTTACAGACTTACGAAGACTGGCGTGAAATGCTTCATTATTTTTTAGTGTAAATGCATTTAAAAATCAATTTGTAATTTAAAAAAACCCACCCAATTCTTCCAAATTTGGCATCACTGGTAGATTCAGAATTCTTCCATCTTCATTATAGTCGTCAAATATCCCTCCCAAATTGATAACCAGCTTGGTTAATGATTTCTTAAAGTGTTGCAAGATTTCTTCCGCCTCTGCGCTGTTCATGTCGTCGATGTTCAGCGTGAGCATGCGCAATCCCACAAGATTATCCTGAACTCGTTCAAACACGGGGGTAACGTCGTAATAATCCGGGGTGAAAAGCAGCTCCTTAATCGTTTCCGGTCTTCCCGGAATTTTGTCTAATTCTTCGAAAAACAATTGGGCGATCATGTGCGAAACACCGTTGTTGATTCCGCATCCGTGGAAACTTTCCAAATTTTGAGAAATTGAAAAGAGTCTCCGTAAAAATGTTCGGATTCCTTCTTCTCCTTCTTCGTTCACTTCGTCCGTTGAGAGGCGAAATCTTTTCAAGGTTGGGAGCTGGAATGCGTCATCGGAGGGCAGGGCCGCCACAAAGTTGGCGTCACGACCGCGTCTGTTTTTGAAGTCGAGGTCCAATTCGGTCAAATTCAGGGCGAGGGTTAACATTTCACGGGATTTTGAGAGCCAATTGCTGTAATATTATTAAACAGAGATGAAATTCGACCTTGTAAAATTTGTGGAACAATGAGATAATGCACGCAGTCTTCATTGAAGTCCGTAAATTCTGCAAACTCACAAACTTTTACAGTATTTCTGAGGAAAACTAGATTAAAATTTTTTGTAAACTTCCTCAGATCGAGGGCGTCTCTATATTTTGTAAAAGTCTAAAATAATTTACAAAACGCAGGGATTTTAATAAAGCTAATAAAATAATTTTACTACGTCAAAAAGCCGTCCTCGATCTGAGCAAGTTTACAAAAATTTGGCGTATATATGTAGGGTGATTTTCCTGAGCAAGATTTGTAAAATTTTGCAAAAGTTTGTGGATTTATAGAATTTGCAGAATTTTATAATTATAAAATCTGTTAAAAATAAAATCGGGGCGGAAGCAGGGGGAGAAGGGAACATTGTTGCCCAGAAGTTTCCAATTAATAAAATTATATCTTAATATGTGTCTCCTAGCCTCCTCCTCCTATCCCCCCCATGTTAATGTCCCCCCACCTTCCGCCGCCAATGTTACCAAGGACTGCGTGAATTTCCTCAATGTATATTCTGATTAAAATAATTAAAGGCAAATTTTATTTCCTGCTTACGTTGTCATTTCCACGTGCATCTTCAGAAATCGAAGCTTGTCCCCACCAATTCTCCGCATTATTTCCAAAGGAAGGTTAGCAAAACGTTTCGGGGGAGAAGCAATTGAACAGTACGTTGCATACGCTCTTCGAGTGCCGATCGTCATTTCGACAATGGTCCGCGTCGGGATTCGTCCCCCTTTCTTTAAGGTTTCGAAGTAATCCTTGAAGGAGCGTGAATCCAAATTGATTTTTGACTTTTTGTCCAGGAGATTGGAAGCTTCCGAGTGAAACATCGAGTTTGTGGGAGCACAAGTTTTCAAATCGCGAACGGAGAGGTTGTCCAGAATCATTTGGACTAGCTGGAAAAAAATAAGAAACAATTAAAATGGTAGTTTTTGACTCAAAAATGTTTAGTATATTTAAATTTGATAGAAATTTAGTATTTTTGTACTAAAGGGTTTGAGAAAACGACTTCTTCCGGCGTGGTGTTGAAGACTTGGACCTGTTCCTCCTCCCCCACTTCAACTGGGTTGTCTACTGTCATCATATTTCGAAATTAATGTGGAATTTTGAATTTTGTAAAAATTGAAAATCGAAACGAAATGAATGTTTGATTGAATGTGCAGCGGAAACACAATTTGTTTTGGATTTTAAGTTTCCCGCGAAGAAGAAAGTCTGTCTCAGGTTGTGCTTAAATGTGAGTTAGTTTACCCCGCAGCCCGTGTCAAGCAATCAAGCTCGACAGTCGATGCTATTTAAGGTGGCATAGTATGCGGGTTTTGAGTTTGAATTGTTGCGTGTCTCAACTTTCCCTGCTTCCATATATTCAAATGGCGATTTTGAGACGTATTCATCTCCGTGAGTTTTTTACAATATGAGGATTTTAATGCACCTAAAAATCGATAATTTTTAGGTTTACAAAATTAGGCTGGTGTGATTTTGATTTTTTTTCTTCCTTTGGGAAAACATTTAACTTTTACTAATTTTTTTGTCTATTTCATATTTATTTTCTTGTGGAAGAAAAAAATCAAAATAACTAACTAACTAACTAACAGCCTAACTTTGTAAACCTAAAAATTATCGATTTTTAGGTGCATTAAAATCTTCATATTGTAAAAAACTCGCGGAGATGAACCGGTTTCAAAATCGTCATTTGAATATATGGAAGAATCGAAAGTTGAGACACAACAATTCAAACTCAAAACCCGCATACTATACCACCTTAATGAATTTCCCTATCCACAAGTTTCAAATTGATGCTTACTCCCAAAGGGGGTGTGGTCAAGGGGTTGTTATTGCTTGTATACAATGTATGTGCATAATTTGTAAAGTTGCGGTGCGGGAGTTCAAAGCTTTCAAACTATTTAATGACAATTGAATTTGTTACTTGACATTTACAAGTCAAGTCAAACAACCAAAAAAAACGCGAGGTACAGAGGGTTGCCAAAAATATTGGTGGTGTATTTTGCGCTCGGTACCGCGTACGATATTTTTACCGAGGGATAACTACGGACTAATTCTCCAGGCATTTTTTAGAGCCAACTTAATGGACAAGAAAATACTTGTATTTATCAGGAGCTGCCTATAAACTCTGTAATGCAAAACTCGCGATTTTCTAGACCCCCCTCCCCCTTGAGCATGTGTAACATAGGCACGATATCATTGGAGCCTTTGGACCCCTTCGGCCGTTACGTAATTTATGCACGGCCCCTCATACAAAATTAAGTTTAAACATTTCCGAGATATGTCCTACATAACTTGAATCATGTTTGGAAACTCATGTGTTTGCTAAGATAAGCGACGCGTGTTGGAAAAATTAGACTTGTTTTTCACCCTTCACAAAACAGGATACCATGCATTTTTATTCAAAATTATTTATTTCCTCCGAATTGTAATACATACATAGAAATTTTAAGCGTGACACATCGTCAAACATTGAAATTTTAACAATCGCTCCCCCGACATTCGAACCACCACCATTGGTTGAGGTAGGTTGTAGAACAGGTGTAATCATACAATTTGAGATCACTTCCGGTCCCGGCTGAGACGCAATTTTTGTTTGAATAAGCATTCACCCGCATCTCGTAGTAAGTCTGTGGATAAAATTACATACATGCAAAATTTACATATGTACATATGTAGATCAGGGGTTACTAAGGGTTATACAGGATGAGGAGTTGATGCACCATTAATTTTTCGACTCCCCTTATTCGGCATCTTTAATGGAAACTTGAAAAACCGAGCAAATTTCAAAATTGGTTTTGAGATCTGTAAATGCAACTTTTGTTTCCTAAATTTCTGGTGTCACAAAACCATTGGCTTGAAAAACTTTGAACCTGGTTCAAAGTTTTGTACAATAAATTACCGCAAACTAATTTAACCGTTTTCTTTAAAGCTTTTTCCTACATAGTATCGCAAACTATGGAAATTGATGTCATTTTCGAATTTTCCATTTAAATAAATTGATTAATTAGGGGTACCGTTGGATTAAAAATCAATGGCGTCATCCTGTAGCACCTTAACAAATCTGCGTGTGAAATACTACATTTTATGCAAGACTTACATTTTGGCTGCTACTGACCCAACCTGACCCCAATGAAAAGTACTGGCAGTTGTCGTCCGCATAAGACTTGCAGTCGGCTGGGGTTAATCTGGCGTCATTTGGAGCTCCCGTTGAGCAGTCGAGAGTTCCATCCCCGACTCGGAGACAGGAACCGGTCTCGACATTTTGAAACCTTCGGAATCCCGGTTGTGCATCCTGGAAATGGAAACATGCTAAAATTGCGAGAATAATATGATTTATGGAAATAAAATTACAGTACATAAAAGCGATTGTGACCAATATTCATTTTCAAACGCAAACTTTTGTTAATTATATAATTTGGCATTTAGAAAATACCACGCAAAAAAACACTCTTAAAAATATTGTTACCTTTTGAAAAGTAATTGCACTCTCAATTATAAATTAATTAACCTATTCTAATCCAGAGCAACGTATTAACTTCATCCAGAGTAATTGTACTGGACTAAGGAGAGTTTACTAAATATAGACTTCAGAGTGCCTTTAATTTTCAAGATTAATAACAGTATTTTTAAGAGTGTCTTTCCGACCTGATTGTTTATTAAAAAAAAAAACTTACATCCTTATAAAGCCTCCACTGACAGTACGTTCTAGTCTGGCATTCCCACCTCTGATTAATATAATCCGCCCCTTCCGACGCATTCTTGTAGTGAATGACCCAGTATGTGGTCTGGTAATTGTACATTTGGATGGTCAGATTAGGTTTGGCAGCAGGATATAGGACGTGCTGAAAAATATTAGAATGCACGCTGTTAGAAATCTGGTATAGTCAGGAACGTATTGATTTTTCAGCATTAAAGATATACCGGTCCCTAAAAATTTGTTTCCGATATGGTAAAACTTTAATGCCGAGCTGTACTACTTATGTATCAATACCACTTCGGTAGTCATACATACATGAACACCACATGATATTATTTTAATACTGGATTTCTAAGAGTGCCACCATGCAAACAAGATTCCATTAGAAAACTAAATTATGTCTGCTAAATATGTCCGAAATGATATGATTTTTATACCCAAGGATTATATTTTAGGGATGGGTTGACCGTCCGCAGTTCACATTCGGTCAGGTTTTTCTCACAACTTATGCAAATTACGAGACAAGCAACAATTGACAAAAGTACAACGATCCGTTGGCGAGTTGGGAAACTCATGTTGAAATTTCTGTATTCAGGCGAGTGACGATGTTCGTCTGGATGAAGGAAAAGAGTGAGTGAAGGGTTGTGTATTTAATGACAGAGTTTTTGGTGGCTTCGAAATAAAAATAGTTTATGATGGATTGGATTAGTGGGAAGGTTAAGAAGTTGGTAAGGTACTTACAGCGACAAGTTTTTGAGGAAAAGAGACATTCATAAAGTATGTAGTGTTAAAATTCCATATTTTTATAAAATTTAACATAGGGAACGTACTATACCCATGTATCCATGATCATGTCGGGGATTTGTTTATTACACTCTAAATGAAAATTAGTAGGATTTATCCAAGATTTAGTACAAAAAAGATGAAAATTGGGTAAAATTTATTAAACGGTTGGACACATCAATTTTACAGAACTTGATGTAGACCTGATTAACTAATGTAATTTGTAATATGTGGTAAGGCCTCTATATAAAATTTGTAATTTGTGAACATTTTATTGAAATGATGTTTTGAAGGAACCTGAGACAGTTTATTCGATTTTTAATATGCAAACATTTACATACCTTACATAACGTATATGATGTCGATTTAAGATCAAAGAGACATTTATCAATTTAATTCTGCCTATTTAACATGTGCATCTGCACATATGCAAATACATTATTGCTCTGTCGACACATCATTTGGTAGCAAAATTCGGAGAATTTTACGCTCTTTTGTACCCTTAAAATCCCTCCTTGCTTATTTTAGACGAAGACAATACTGGTTTGAACAGCTTTATACATTAATAGATAATTCCACCGACGCCTTGACATAGACGGCAACTTTTAACCGGAGAGCCTAAATATGTACTATAAATATGTCTCGTGTGCAAAAGGTATTGATAAAATTCTCACTTTTTATGTATCTCTCGCTCATAAGTATTTCTGGGTACGATACGACAAAAACACCGGTTTCTTTGTAGTAACCGGTAGTATCCAGTTATTGGATTACTGATGACCAGGATTAGTCTGAAATTCAGTTAAAAATAGAAATTTGTGTGTATCCTTATGTATGGATAAAGGAACAATTGTCGCTGTTGAAAAATCGGGGCAACAACCCGTGGCTTTCAAGTGCACTTTCATCCATATAAAATGTCTAGACGTTTGATAATTGAACGTGAATAGGTGAATAATCTTTGTGCCTTGACACCAACGTTTTTAGAACGTTTTAAATCACGAGCTTAACAAAGGGTGACAACTTTTTCGACAATTGACGTCGTATTTCTGAGTAAAGAACAAAAGACAATGAATCAACAGGCATCTAGAAAAATACAACAAAAGACTAGACGAAATGAACTTATTCCATTCATTCCCAAACGTCTGAAGAGGAATTGGAACCTTTTTGGAACAATAGAAACAATGCGGACGGATTGTTTCCTACTTTTGACATGAAATGATGAAGCATTTTCAGTGAAATTTATTGACGCTTTTAAGTAATATAGGTTTGTTTATTTGAGGTTCTGTTTGAAATTGTTTTTAGAGAAGAGTTGAATTCATAGTAATCAATGGTTAAAAATAAATGAATTCCTCGAATTCAGATATGGATCCCGGGGATTAACAACAAGTGCATGCGGAGCGAGTTCAATTATCGTTTGAAACATGTTTAAAAATTTGGATTGTGTTTGAAATGGGTACAATTTACATAATAAACACGAAAGCGTACAATTTCTGCATTTATTTATAGATGTACTTATGCATTCTGTAATTTTATGACACCATACATATAAACAAACATAGATAACTCCAAGGCATAAATTTACAAATATTTATATGATTTGCTCCGCAAATTGCTAAGCACTGGTCAAAATGTAATGTTCAAACTGCATGCAAATCTTTTTATACGTGTTTGGCTAATTATGCTTTTAGTAACCAAATTATATGACATACTTGAAAAATTTGCATATACTCACAAGACTTACATACATACAAATTAAAATCTGAAAAATTGAATTGATTTGTTACTTCGCAAATATACGAATTCTATAACGAATTTTTAATATTAGTGTTTCGATAACCGTTTGTGAATTTATTTGCTTGTGTAGGAAAATTGAGATATTCATACCCTTGAACTTTTGAAGTGAGACTGACCCCTGCAACTTTCTTAATTTAGAAAGTTAGTTCGGTCTACACACGTTTAATGTTATACAATTAAGACAAAATCTAGCAAAACCTTAAGGCTACCACATATGTATGTATGTACTTAACACGCCATTTCACCTTGGATTCCCCTCAGTCTTTTGACAGCAGTCAACTAGGATTCTCACCGTCTCATATAACCCAATTTACAAAACCACCATGAAATTTTTAATTTTTCTTCTTGTCGTTTCCCTTTGTGGTGCCAGCAAGCTTAAGGATGTTCCAGAAAGGTGAGCATTTTACTACCAGATATTTCCAAATTCATCCTTAAAATATATTTAGACAGCTAAGAATTTTACGTTTTTATGAAAGATTTTGGAGGTATGCAATTTTAAAATTCTGAAAATCATTTTGCAGAAGATTAGACCAACGACCCGGTCCAGAGTCGCCCTTAGGTCTCGCAACTGCAAATGGTGTCTCATTAAACGTCTCGTCTTTATTCGACCCCACCAGAGATGCCAATGTACGTACATATTTACTTACACTCTTAAAAATAATGTTACCCTTTTCGAAAGGTAAATCCAGTCTAAATTCTACATATATTAAGTAAACCATACTAAATCCAGAGTAATGTTAGTTTGATAAAGTGTAAAGTTTCTTGGATTTATGTATAGAAAATATAGATAGAATTCAGATTGCACGTAGTTTTCGAAAGGGTAACATTATTTTAAGAGTGTACATAATGCTGTCACTTTTATAAAAAAGGTTTCCATATTTCAATTTTTTTAAACTGTTATTTTATAAATATTTCAGACGAAGTACTACATATTTCTGAGAAGCTCGTACTGGCGATGTCTCACTTGCGACTGCGCTTATGACAATCAATCGCCCAATTTGTTCGTTAAAACGGCCTATTGTTATCCAACAGCGAATCAATTGTTTTACCTGGTTCCAACGGTAAGAAGCTATTTTGTATGGAAGGGCGATTTGTTTTAGAAATTCAGTGTTTCTGAAATTTTTCCAGTTGAGTTGGAATTTTTAAGTTTGATGAGAAATTTCGAAATTTTGGGCACTTTGATTTTTACAAAATATTTCAGGACGGGAATGGAATCTATGTTAATACCGACCCTACCACAGGTGGTAAAAATGGTACTTCCGTGCGAGCTTCGACCACTTACAGAATCGTGAATGCGGAAGACCAACGGTGCATGGATATCTATTACGGGGCGGGAGATTCGGACGGCGCCGTGGTCAACTGGGTGGTCACGAACGACTGCAGTAGTGCGGATACACAAAAATGGATTTTTACAGATATTGCCAGCACGAGTTATGTATGTGCATACGGGTTTTTTATTTGAGTATTTTTATTTTTGGGTTAAAGAATTAAAATTTTGAATTAAAGTTTTCATTTTTTATTATTTCAGAATTACTACACAATTCAAAATCAGGCAGTTTCTTCGAATGGTTATATAACCACGCGTGGCTACAGTACGAGTGAGGGTGTTCTGGTGCATTTGTGGGGATTAAGTGACTCCAGTAGCCCTGATTGGACGCAAGAATGGGCTTACACCTCTTAAATTCAGGGGTAATGTAAATCTATCATATTTTAACCTTTGATATGTGTATCAAAGTTATCTTAAATTGGGGGTTTTCATCCATTAATATTTATTAAGAAATTTAAATACAAACAATTTCACTTTGGGAAATAAATGATTGATTAAAAATACGCTTTGTTTTTAAATTAATATTTATTCGTGTCGTTCGAGCATTTTTTAAAAGAATTTTGGACATATTTAGAATCATTTCTTATACTTAAAATTCCAAATTTCCGACTATCGAAACATACAAATTATTCTAATTAACGATTATCAACATTAACAGTTGGAAAGGAAATATTAAAATCACTTATAAGTGTAATATCGAGATTATTTATGCTTTTAAATTTACATAATCCATACGACACGAGTGAATAATTGATACTGAAAAATTTTAACGTCCCAACTTACAAAGTTTTTCTTTTAATTACTTGGACTCTTATATAATCAAATGTAATTAAATCGACCCCGCCCAAGCCCTACAATTGGTCCGGATGCAGTGATGGCCTCGCCGGAAGCGTGGATGTGGTGCCGCCACCCCCACGTCCTTGTTCATCTTGCTCACCACGAATTCAAAGCCTGTGAGGAAAATGTCAAACTTTGGATTAAATCCATCATAAAACCACGTAAACCAAGTAAACCCACCCAAACTGTCGGCGGCAGGATGCGCCTTTATTGTAACACCGCCAAATCGAAGCAGTACGATAAGCGCGACAACGAATAATATGCGGGGACCCATTATAAATATGAGGATTTAGTTACAAAAAACTGATGAAATTATTTAATTAAAAAAATTAAAATTTTCTTTGAAATTTTGCGTCCAGTTTTTGTTGTCACGACTTGTTGATTTTGAAGTGATTTCGAGCTACACCAAAAGTTCCTCGGTTTTATGGGAAGATGCGAGGTTGTTACTTTGAATTATTTACATATTTAGGTATGCAAATTTTGTATGTTACGCAAATTAGTGAAAATTGGTTTGACAAAAATTGATTGATTGATTTGTTTTAGTTTGCATAATGCAAGTTCACAATTTCCATTCTCTTCCAACTACCTCGCAAAAGTACGAGTGTGAAAGTGTGAGATACCTAACTTTCCTTGAAGTCATTTAAAACTAGAGAAAAATAAAAGTGAACAATTATGATTTTTTACTCCCCTCTATTTCTATTTTTATGGGGGACCATACTTATCAACTAAATTCTCGGTAAACATGGGAATGAAATAAAATTCGTATGATATTATAAAAGTATGAAAAAAGCTCATACATATTCGTTGTACATATTCGTTGCAGAGGTCGACGCCCGCAAATTTTCGGCGGTGGCTGCGCCAGTTTTTGGTGATTTTTCGGCGGTTTCGGCGGCGCGGCGCGGCGTCGCAATGTTAAACCAATAGGAAATCAGATTTTTCGGTGGCGGCGGCGCGTAAAATGCACCGGCGTTTGGCGGGGCGGGGGCGTACGATCGGCGGCGTCGTCCTATGATTTGTTGTGTTAATTTTTATTGTTTTCTGTACAGCAGAGAAATTTACAAGCCGATTTGCGATTTTTTGTTATCCTGAGCGAGTGCAAGGCAAAATTATTCTGAGCCATGGTAAGACTCGCATGAAAAAATAACTTTCACCTTGCTCATGAGCACCTTAGTAGCAGGGGAAATTTTCATTCATTTCATATGCAGATCGACCGCGCATAGAAACTTGTATATTCTCGTGGAGTAATAATACGTAAATATTTAGGAAACGTCCATATATTACGTCATCATTTCAGGTTTTATAGGTTTTTAAGTATGTAATCTATTACCATTATGTAAAAATAGTAAAAATTTCGGTTTCAACAATATGTAAATGATGGATTACAAAAACTCTTTATTGTCGAACTATATACATTAGTAAATATTTATTCGTGCTGTTCCAAGATTTCCAGCAACATTTCATTCTCAAAACCGAAATTTCCAAATTTCCGACCAATACATAAAATTCTTAATAGCATTAAAATTAAAATTTTGGAATTAAATAGAAGTATTAAAATAACTTATCTATCGTTATAATTTTCACATCAAGATGAGAAATTTACATTTATACATCTAATCCTAAGTTTAGTCCATATTACACGAGAGGATATTAATTACGAAAAATTTTAACGTCTCAACTTACAAATTTTTCTGTTTAATTATTTGGACTTCAAAATAATCATTGGTCATCAAATCGACTCCACCATACCCTACAGTTAACCCGGGTGCAGTGATGGCCTCGGCGGAAGCGTGGGTGTGGTTCCCCCACTTCGCTTATGTCCTGGTTAACTTGTTTCATCGCGGATTCATGCAGAGAACATATCAATTTTTGAAATAAATTCATTCAAATAACTAGCATTTTTACTCACCCAGGTCGACGGCTGGATGCGCTTTTATTGTAACGTCGCCAAATCCAAGTAGGACGATAAACACGGCTGCGAGGAATATACGGGGATCCATTCTAAATTGAATTTAGTTAAACAAAACAGTGATAAAATTATAAAAATGTATATTTTCCTCGCAATTTTGTTCTCCCAACTGGATTGGATGATTTCATTGGAAATAATTGCAAGACAACGATACGTTGTAGTTTTATGAGGAGATGGGAGGCCGTTACTTTGAATGACATAGGTATCTAGCATTTTGTATGTTACGAAAACAAAAGAACAATAGGTTTGGATTAAACTGATTGATCGATTTATTTTATTTTGCATAATGCAGGCTCAAAATTTCCATTCTCTTTCAACCACAAAGCAGAAGTGTGAGAGTGAGAGGGTGAGATATGTATGGTATCAATGTACCTAACTTTCTTTGAGGCTGTTTCTATAAAATCACAGTCATAGCAGTAGTAGTGAACATACAGAATGAACTTTTGCATGTATATTTACATATTTACATACGTACGTACGTACATATGTGCATGCATTAACATGGCTGCTTATGGAACGTATGTACGTACATACATATTTACATTGCCTGCAGGACTGTACCTCATAAACAAAATCTATTAGAAATTAACAATATTTGTCATTATTGGGACCGAATTAAGTATAACAAGACTTTACTCATTCGTATACATCAAAACACACGATTTCAGACATATGCACGAAAATATTTTCATCCATAAGCGCGTCACACTAGCGGAAAATCATAGCTTGTAAAGTTAAACACATGAAACACATACATGCGTATCAAACAAACCTATATGTAGGTTTCTGTGTAAGTATGACATATATTAGATAACAATATATACAATTTAGAAAGGTTAATTGGATCAAATTACGTACCACGAAACGAAAAAAACACAGCAGTTCTCGTTAGAATCGTAATGGTAGAAAGCTTCTTCAGACAAGCTCACAATTGTTTTCTGTTTTATAATTCACCTGGCTCTCCCAAATTAAATAAGTTCTGGTTGGCGAACAAATAGAGTTAATTAGGACACGACCTGGTAAAAAATTATTGCAAAGTAACGCTCGTTCTAACGCGACTAAACCAAGCTCCGCAGTCGCATTTTTTGTTTCCAAATTAACTCCTTAGTCGCCTTCCGAGGTAATGTAGACGTAATTGCTTGGTCGCCTGAAATAGGAAACAATGAGGTGCATTTCTCCTCTAACGTTTGTCATGCATAATAGGCTAAAATATACACAAGCATGTATAAAAGCATTCCAACAAACAAAGTATACATGGAACGATGCGGCTATTCACTATTTGTGGCGCACCATCCGCGCTACCCAGCTTGTACCATGTTGCACCTTAAAGTGGAACGACAAATCTGGCAGGGCTGAGGCTTGTCGAGAAAATTCTTGGAAGTTTAGAAATTTCCAAATTTATACGCTTATCATGACTGTAGTCGTGTTGCCGATTTTTGTAGCTAGAACGCTGCACCTTTGGAAATCCACACAGCTCGGGGAGACTCAAGACATGAAGTCAGTTTTCTCTGCATTCAGCGTCACTGAGTACGTGTGCATTTGCATCCCGTACTTTTGGGCCTTATCGAGACCGTCCATCCCTCGAAAGTTTGTAATGTGTTATGAAAGTACTCTCCTTGCCGGGAAACAAGTCCAAGGTGGGTTAAAACAGACTTTGAGTTTTCGATTAACTATGCATGTCCAAAATTGCTTTCTGCTTTCCGGTACAATTACAATTCCTGTCACATCCTTAAATCGTAAACTGTGTAACCAAGAAAAAAGGAAGGGCAAAGCTTTTGAACAAGCTAAAACTTGGTTGCGCGGTTTATAATGCGAGGAATACACATCTGTACTAAGGGTGTATGCGAAGCAATCATGAATACTATTAATATAAATGATCGAGTTGACATCATAATATTTATTTACAGTTTTATTACTATTTAGCGCTGTTGTCGTCCAAGGAGAAACTCGAGAACCATAATAACCAAGAAAGGAGCCACTTCGGATATAAACTACTCTCTGCAGTATATTTCTATCTTGACTTCTTATTACCGCCACTGCTAATTTACGTTGGCTTTTTCGAAAAAGACCTCAATCTTCTATATTCCTTTGTCTTACATTACTCAAACATTGTAAAGGTCTTTGTTCAAATCATGTCCTGCATTGCGTGCTACGTCCTCTTTTTGACTTCCATGATGTGCCTGTTATCCACCATCAATGGCATCGTGGTCACTTACCTGGCCTTAAATTCCCTTATTGCATCAATCGGGATCAATTACATCTAGAAAGGATTTCGCGTTTCACTCGGCTATCAAAATGGTGTGAAAATTTACCAAATTCTTCGTGTCTTGGCAATCATTCAATCAGAATTGTCGGGTGATTTAGTTGTCCCACGTCTGCACCATTTTCACTTAGTGGTATTGTCAGCGATTTGCCTATACTACTTTGTCCTGCAATTTTTACCAGGTGGTGAAATTTCTCTCGTTGTTGTGACCGTTTCCTTAGTCATGCTGCTTTTTAGTGCGGTAGTTGAATTTATTTTCATTTTCTATATTGCAAAGGCATCCGAGCTTTCGGATAAGTTTAAGAAAAAGATTATGTTCTTCTATGATCATGATAAGATAAAAAGGAGGGTCATTGCTAGGCTACAACCAATCTCCATAAATTTGGAATTTCTTAGATCTTCGACTACAATTGAGAATGGGGTTGGGATGGATTACTTTTTACGTTATGTGGAAAG